CTTTTTTAATTGTTTTTTTTAAATTTATTTTATTAAACTTTCCCCTCAATGGTGGATCCGTTTACCCACCACCAGTCCAACCAAAGCCCTGAAGAAATATTTTTAAAATTTGCTTTAAAAAAATTACTTCCGAATTTTCACTACCCCTACGATACACTTGCCTTTCTCTATCTGTCTTTATAGTATGCTATGCAAATACTTTTATGCTACTCTTCGCTCTTAGMCTTTCTTATATTCATATTCTTATACATGTTATTAAAATATTTTATAAGTTTTTAAATATGTACGTTCTTACATATTGAACTAATTCATTATTCTATAGCGCTCTGTACTGTACTACAACTACTACAAAACATTACTTTAAATACTATTCAAGATATTATTAAGTCATTTATTTAAAAAGCAAATATATTGATTCAAAAACCAAACAAAAAAAATTCATGATTTTAATAAATGAAAATTTTCAAAAATTCTTTTCTCCAAATCTATACCCCACACTTGCCAAAACTGTAACGATTCGTACCAAATTGAAACTGTTGTTCCCGTTATGAAACAATTTGTTTTCCATTTATAAACTACTACTGTTACCCGTTAAACCGTTTACCGTTATCGTTATCGTTCACACGTTGTAACATATAAAGCCATCCATCCAAAGTCAAAGTGGTCGTCGTCAGAGCTGGATTGATCAGAGGGTCAAAATTCAGACACGCAAATTTAGCATCAAAGTTAGTCTTCACCATAATTGAGTATCACATAAATTTTTCTACTTAACTTAATTTCGAAATTTTCTTATAATGAAATTTTTAAATTTTACAAAACCCAAAAAAATATTATTATTATAATTATTATTATATTTATTATGGTTATAGATATTAGCGATTTTATTGAAAATTAATTACAATTCGCTTTTACTAATCGCATTCTGTATAAGTTGCTTAACCCAAAACACTTTTGATAATTATAAAAAATTAGTAAAGCTTCTAATTGACATGAATTTATGAAAAAAGTAGCTTTAAATTTTGTTTTTCTGAATTGGCCTGTTGTTACATAACTTTTGTTTGACATTAGCAATTTGCAAAGTAGCCAAAATTAGAACCAAAGATCTTTAGTACAACTCAGCGATTCTTAAACTAACAATAACACCAAATAGAAATCACTTTAACACCACTTAGCCTTGGGGTAATTTTGCATCTTATTAGYAGTACAAGTTTTCGCTATAAATCTCGTCTTAGAGAAGTAAAATTATGCTTAAATTGTACAGTTGTAAATAGTTAACTGCATGTGACTTAATGTTTAAGATATTGCACAGTGTTTTATTTTGTAATATTTTTATATCAAAAAAGGAGTTGCATGATTTTATTTCCCTCTGTCATTGTCAAATTTAGTGATTAAATCGAAATATGTTAATATATGTAACTTTTATGCTAAGGTAACTAGTATTCATTAATAAAAAGTTAAAGAACGAATTGGAATCGGAACACAATTTTAATTTAAAAGTTATTAACGCTACAAATACGCCTTGAAATATTAAAGAAGTTTTTAAGTTAAAAGAACGAAGTGGAGTCGAAACAGTTTTTTTATAATTCTTTGTTTAGGTATACAGATATTTATGTTATAACATATTATACATAATATAAAATAATCTTCAATTTGCTACATTTTAGCACTTACAAATATTGTGACATAAACAATTTGAAATCGAAACACTATAAAATCGAATAATTGCTTGTGAAGTATATTTTTTAACTATATTCAGCTATATTTATAACCCAGTTCAAAAATGTTTGAGAAGAACGTTAACAAAAGTAAAGGAACGAGGTGGAATCGAAACATTTTTTTATAATTTTGTGTTTCATTGTATATAAAAGATGTTATAGTATAAAAGAAAATTATACTTACTACATTTAAGCACTTACAAATATTGTGAAATAAACATAATGAAATKGAAACACTATAAAATCAAATATTTGCCTACGTAAAGTAATTTTTTTTTTATTATCATCAACTAAACTTAAAATACCCTTCAAACATTTTTTAGAGGAACGTTAGCAAAGGTGAAGGAACGAAGTGGAATCGAAACGGTTTTTATAATTGTTTATATACATAGGTAGTAAATATTTATATATATTAAAAGTCAGTAATTTTGTGGTAACTGCATAATGAAAGTTAAAATAATGCCAAAGGAATTAAATTGCAACACCGTGAACTCAAATATTTGTTATCAGCACAAAAAGTTCCTTAACTCTCTAAACTAAACCAAACCGAAGAACTTTAGCAAAAATTTAAAGAACGAAGTGGAATAGAACCAATTTTTAAGTAAATGCTATTAAAGCAAAAATGTGCCTTAAAATGTCTGGGTAAAATAATTGTAAAGTAATGAAAGGAAATGGAATCGAAACAGTTAAGTATAATTTTTGTTTGTTTATGAAAGCATTTTTCGTCTAAGAAAATTTTTAATAATACATATGCATTAAAATTTTTTTTTTATTTAAATATTATAATATGTAAAGTGGAACGAAATGGTATGAGAACAAACAAATTTAATAAATTTTTTGGTAAAAAAAATTACTTGTAGGTGTACACAATTTTGGTTTGACCACTTTTTTAATTAAATATAGCGAGTAACGAAGTGGAAATGGGACAAAATATTTTTTATATTTTTTTACTTAATTTTTATTAGTAAAAAGTATTTGTATGCTATTAGGAACGATTTGAAAACGAAACAATCTAATCGCTTTAATCAAAAATATGTACTGCAGTTAAGTACACCTACACCACAAAAATGTATTTAATATCTGCTTTAATAGGCAGATAACTAACCTGCCATTTTCACTCAACAAACTATTAGCATACAGCCACACATACTCATATCGGTGTAGTCCATCACTATCGTGTTTGTACTTAAGTAAGCTTCATACAAAAGCGGCTTAAATTTAATTAAAACCACACAAGCCATTTTACAAACTCGCCAGCGACGCCCACAATTAATTGCAACGATTTAATGTACTCCCGCTTGGTGCCACAAACACACACACMCACACCTTATATAAACAATGCATATGCTCACGTGTGAAGCATGACTAAAAGCATATGAAGCTCAATATACAACAACAATAAGGGGCATAAGCTCATATTTGCAAGCGCATTTATACATATGTTCGATGAATGTATGTGTGTGCGAGTGTTTTGAAGGTAAATTGGTCAATTGATCCGGCGAAACAGGCACACACACACACACTTATATGTATGTGTGAGCGTTTATATATTTSTGCATATGTGTATGTAAATATCGGACAACCGCTAGCTGGAGGCAAGCTAAGACAAAAGGCCCATTCGCTACCACCACCAAAGGCTGCAGGTGACTGTTAAAGCACATACACTCACTCACACTCTGTCAGTGACAGGAAATTGATGCTAATCGATTTAAAGCTGCTTGCCTTGGCATTTGCCATCACCTTAGTGCCTTTGCTGTGTGGGAAGAGCTGCTCAGCAAATATTCACAAATTAACACGTACTAGTGGGATGCTATCTACTGTGCTGCTAATAACGTGATTACTTATACCGTTTTTTTTTTTTTTTTTTTTTTTTTTTTTTTTTTTTTTTTTTTTTTTTTTTTTTTTTTTTTTTTTTTTTTTTTTTTTTTTTGCGCAGCTTTTCTATTTCATCCTCACACACTCTCTTTATCTCTCTATCTCTATATCATTTGCTTACGACCGTCTGTTTGTGGTATTATCAGCGCTTGAGTAGCAATTTTTCGAAACGTTTATGTTTGATGGCGTGTCTACTAATCTATACACGGCTGTCATTTACAATTGCTGCCAGAATTTCTTTTAGATATGTCAGCGCAAATTAGGCTCAACATTAGGCAGCGTAGACTCGCTCATCAATTACAGATATATGAAATCGTTTTTCTTTTTTTATTATTTTTGTTTGCTTTTGCTGACGAAAGATGTTAGAATGAAGATTAGAATGAAGAAAGGAAAAAATGATATAAGCCCTTAGAATACGTTATATATGCATGAGAKAAAAATATTACTAAAGTAAAAATAAATACCTATATTACATATAAATATATGCCAGCATTGCTGAAGGTCACGTGATTTGGCTAGCATCTGTATTTKTTGGCGCTGACAGCTATAAATCTTCAATTTCGCGTTTAAATCCTTGCTGCGAAGGGTAGTGGAAAGAAAATGTAAAAAAAAATCAATTGAACTTTGACACAAATGTACATACTTACGAACAAACATATAACTGTGCCTTTGTTTGAGTAAATGTATACATAAATATATCCAGCAGCACAKTTAGCGCCTGCTAGTCTGTGTAATTGCAAAGGCAAGCCACAGGAATGGCCCAATGGCCTTGTCGAGCTTCCAAGAAGACAGAAAAAACATGTACACATATAAGCAGCTGCAAACCTAATTTTCTGCTCAAATATATGTACATACAAATCTGTGTATGTTTGTAGGTATATACATACATATGTATGGATGTATGCGAACTAGTCAACAAAAAATTACCGTTTATAACTGTGTCTTAGTATGTATGAATGTATATATATATTTGAACATATTTGAACGCGCCGAACAGAACACGCCAAATAATCCGGCAAATGGAAGAAATCGAAGCAAAAGTCCGTTTKACTATTGCTTTGCTATTAAAACTGCAAACGGCTTGGTGAGGATTAGATGAAATTCGTTCGGCACACAATTTTAAACATGTAAAGGTSTACAATATTTTCTGCAAATGCTGTTTAAATATATAATGAGGAACGAAATGGAATCAAAACAAAAGGTTTTTCGCGAGGAAAAAATAACTAAGAAATATACGAAAAAACTATATGGAAACAGAGCGTGGAACGAAATGGAATCGGAACAAAACTGTATACGCTATTTCTTAGACGAAACGATTCACCTAGCGAAGAACCGTAAAAATATAAATTAAATTAAATATAATACGGAACGAAATGGGATCGGAACAAAATATTTTTGTTAGGATTTTTATAAAAATATTTTGTTCCGATCCCCATCAAAAAGGCTTTTGTGACATAAAACATAACTAAGCGATATAGGGAAGAAGCTATTTGAAAATTTTAGCTATTTGAGCGCGGAACGAAATGGTATCGGGACACAACTTCTGAACACTTTTTTTTAGCTTGTTATGAAAATCAACAAAAACTCGTTACCCAGTAAAATATGGAATGAAATGGAACTGAAACAAACTAGTTAAACATGATTTTTATAACAAAAAATCAATATTTACATAGGAAAATGTGAAAGACAAGTTTTGGRAACAGAGCAAAGCAATTAATATGAAAGAAGTTATGAACAAAACGAATTTTATAGCAAACAGTTACAAAATTTTTATTAATAAATAAAATATTTTAAATTTCATTCAATCAATAAAGACTTGAAACAATTTTTAAATCCTTTGATGCAAATCTGATCAGCTTCACTGCTGTACTAAAAATGAATATTTCAAACAATTGATATATTTTCCAATATTGACTGCTATATTTCGCCATACTATCAAATAAAACCTCAATGGTATGAATTTTAAAATATCATTGAAACGGTAAATAGATCAGCATAGAATTATGGTTATTTTGAGTTTTAAAAGTTAAGTTTTTTACTATTTATATACTATTACATATTCGAGTAAAAATCTAACAATGAAAAAACATAAACTTTCAGAAACAATATGGAACTGTAGCATGAACAAATCTTTT